CGGCCGCCTGCCCGCAAACCCTAAACCCTAAACCCTAAACCCTAAACCCTAAACCCTAAACCCGAAACCCTAAACCCCAAGCTCGAAACCCGAGAGCCAAGGGGGAGGGTTTCGCGGCCCACTTCTATGCGCACTGCGCCCCCAAACAGGTCGGCCGCCTGCCCGCAAACCCTAAACCCTAAACCCTAAACCCTAAACCCTAAACCCTAAACCCTAAACCGCGAAGCTCAGGCCTAAGGGGTCGCTCTTCAGAGGAGTTCATCATGAGTAGGAGAAATTAAGTAGAAATGCAAAAGAGCCTCCTTGGGAGTCGTCAGGCGCAGTTCGAACGCTAGGGTTTAGGGTTTAGGGTTTAGGGTTTGAGACGCCTCACAAGCAAATCGTGGCGGTGGTGGTACATCAGGTAGTCCGAAGGACACAAGGCAAGCTGTAAATGAGAAAAAAAGGCCTGAAGAAACAAACCCCAGACCCTAAACCCTAAACCCTAAACCCTAAACCCTAAACCCTAACCGCTAAACCCTAAACACTAAACCCTAAACGCTGAGCGCTAGCTAGGCCTAGCACCACCCGCTGGCAGCCTGGACTCACCAGCCCTAAACCCTTGACCCATAAAACACGGTTCAGCTCTAATGGCTTAGGGTTTAGGGTTTAGGGTTTAGGGTTTAGGGTTTACCTCCATCCACTCTATTATGAGGCACTCAGTCAGCAATTCCCTCTTCAGCGCCTGGAGGAAGCCGACTTGCTTTTGCTTGATAATTTGCAGCTGCTTCATCAGTGCCCTGCGAAGCCAAACCCTAAAAAAGGGTTTAGGGTTTAGGGCTTAAGAGCCGCGGCTCCCGCCAGCAAAGCCCAGCGCTAGAACCTAGCACCTAGGGACCTAGGGCTTAGCGACCCAGGGCCTAGCCACCTACAGCTTAGGGTTTAGGGTTTAGGGTTTAGGGTTTAGGGTTTAGGGTTTAGGGTTTAGAGCGGACTTGTTGGAGTCATCAATTTTGCGGTGCACAGATGCAAAGTTTGCATGCAGCCGCGCCAACAGCTGGTGGTTTTCTTGAAGGTCTTTGACAATTTTTTCTCTGCGGATGCTGAGGGCTTCTTCGCTCTAAGCCGCAAACCCTAAACCCTAAACCCTAAACCCTAAACCCTAAACCCCAAACCCTAAACCCTAAGCCCTGGGCTCTGGGCTCTGGCCAGAACGCGAGGCGCGGCCGCTGCAAGGCTTGTGCAAGCAGCAGATTAAAAAGTGAAGATCTTCAAGTCGCAGCCAGGGTTTAGGGTTTAGGGTTTGCATCTTTCGGTTTAGGGTTTAGGGTTTAGGGTATAGGGTTTAGGGTTTAGGGTTTAGGGTTTACCGGCGAGGTGCCCTGCATGCTCATTTTGTAGGCGTCTAGAGTTGAGATCAGGGGATGTTCGGAGAAGTCTGAAAGAAAACCGCTAAACCCTAAACCCTAAACCCTAAACCCTAAACTCGAGACCCTAAACCCTAAACCTTGGGCTTTGAACCCTAAATCCTAAACCCTTGACAGGAAATCTTCAGCGCTAAACCCTAAACCCTAAACCCTAGGGCCCAGACCGTGAAGCGCAGCCCTCACCCTTCCCCTAAACCCTAGACCCCACATTTTAAACCCCAGACCCTGAAGAAAGAACTCCTTATCCTAAACCCTAAACCCTAAACCCTAAACCCTAAGCCCTAAACCCTTTTCTGGCGGAGCTCTAATCTCACCTGCGGCCGAGTGATGCCCTATGAGAATGCAGTGAGGGCAAAGGGCCAAGAAACACTGCGCCACAACAAACCCTAAACCCTAGACCCTAAACCCTAAACCCTAAACCCTAAACCCTTGTGAGAACAGGCAGCAGCAAGCAAGCATAAAGACAAAAGAGACAAAAAGAGTCGAAGAGAAAAAAAGAAATAAAAGAAAACAAAAAATTTAAAAAAATTAAAAAAATTAAAAAGAAAAAAGAAGTTAAAGAGTTTGCAAAAAAGGAAACAAAAAAGAAAACAAAAAGAAAACAAAAATGCGAAAAGACAAATGAGAGATAAAACGAGAAGAGACAAAAAAGACAAAAAGGCGATAAAAAGGAAATTTAAAAAATGATCAAAGAAGATAAAAAGGAACTTAAAAAAAGAGATTAAAAGAGACGAACAGAAGATTAAAAAAAGAGATAAAAAGGGAATCAAAAAAGAGATAAAAGAAGACAAAAAAAAGATTAAAAAAGGAGATGAAAGGAGACAAAAAAGGAGCAGCAAAAGAAGATAAAAGGAGACAAAAAAGAAACAAAGGGAGACAAAAAAGACACAGAAAAGAGACAAAAAAGAAACAAAAAAGAAACAAAAAAGAAACAAAAGGAGACAAAGAGGGAGGCAAGGAAAGAGACAAAGAGGAGACAACGAAAGAGCCAAAAAAGGGGATAAAAGGAGACAAAAAAGAGACAAAAGGGGACAAAAAAAGAGACAAAAAAAGGCAAAAAACCATTAAAAGGATTTAAAAAAGATAAAAAAGATTTAAAAAAAAGATTAAAAAAAGTGTTTGGAGCTCACCACCATGCAGACGCAGTCGATCATCTCGGAGGGATGGTTGGGGCACTGGCCGAATTGAAAAGGAGACTGCGCAGCAGCAGCAGCAGCAGCAGCAGCAACAGCAACAGCAGCAGCAGCAACAGCAGCAGCAGCAACAGCAGCAGCAGCAACAGCAGCAGCAGCAGCAGCAGCAGCAGCAGCAACAGCAGCAGCAGCAACAGCGGAGTTGGTGAAAAAGGGGAAGAAAACGGAAAAAGGAAAAAAAAAGGGAAGAGGAAATAAAGGAGAAAGCGCCAAGAAAAAGAATCAAAAAGGATTTAAAAAGAATCAAAAAGGATTTAAAAAGAATCAAAAAGGATTTAAAAAGAAAAAGGATTTAAAAAGAATCAAAAAGGATTTAAAAAGGATCAAAAAGGATTTTAAAAGAAAAAGGATTTAAAAAGAATCAAAAAAGATTTAAAAAGAATCAAAAAAGATTTCAAAAAAATAAAAAAGAATCAAAAAAGATTTAAAAAAAGAATCAAAAATGATAAAAAGATTCATAAGAGACAATAGGACCAGCTGCCCCAAATAGTCCCCTTTAAACCCTCCCTCTAAACCCTTTCTAAACCCTCAAAACCCTTTCTAATG